GCCCGCGGTGCCCTGATTCCCCCCCGCAGCTCTAGGCAGGGCCGGGCGGCCCCGGGCCCCAAGGGGCTCCCCCGCAGCCGGGGCGTTCGGTCCGCGGGATGTCTGTGTGGCACTTTCGGCAGCTTCACCCATTTGCAGTTTCTCGGGACGAGCTCTTGACCGTGCTCCTGTTTCCGCAGTTCCCGGCGGCACCACCGTGCTGGTGGAGCTCACCCCCGACATCCACATCTGTGGCATCTGCAAGCAGCAGTTCAATAACCTCGATGCCTTCGTTGGGCACAAGCAAAGCGGTTGCCAGCTCACTAGTGCAGCGGCCGGGGCCACCAGTACGGTCCAGTTTGTGTCGGAAGAAACGGTGCCATCGACACAAGCACAAACCACAACCCGGACCCTCGCTTCGGAGACCCAAACCATTACAGGTATCTCGGCGTTACAGGAGCTCAAAAGCACTCAACTGGTGTAAAGTGGCAATGCTACGTAGCCCTCTACTTAGCCCTCTGCTCATGTGTCCCCAGCACACTAAGCTGAAATAACAGCTTTTACATTAGTCGTCACGGACCTGCAAGCAAAGGAAGGAAAAAAAAAAAAGTGGTGTGCTGCCTTCTTGGTTTTGGTATCACAGCAGTTACTTAACTTGCACCTCGATTAGCAAATTCACTTAGAGAGTTGCTTAAGTCTAATGTGTTGTACAACCAACTTGTGCAGGCTAATTAAAATTGTCAATACTTATGAAAAATAATCATATTAGTACGCATTTTATTTTTTAAGAGGGTTCTTGGTGGAAAAACAGACACAGAATTGCTGTTGGGCACCAGTCCAGGCCTTTTTATGTGAGAACACTGCATTCCCTAACATTGCTCCCATAACTAATTGGCAGGAAAAATATTACTCAAAATTTCTGCCTTAGGTGAAGGCTGAAGTGAGGTCCCGATCCTGCAGACATTTAAATAAAACTAAAATTTTGTTCCGGGTGTGAAGGTTTGCCCTTCTATATATAGTTTTATTTTATTTTATTTTGGTCTGGGACCTTACTAAAATCCAAATTACTTGACTTTAATTTGGCTAGACAGGTTAGGGCAGAGAATCTGGAAGAGCAATGAAACAAACTGAATTCAGGGCTCACTTCCAGGAATTTTTGTATTATAATCCCTCAACTTGGTGTGGGTTTTGGATGAGTCATTTTTCTGCTTCATATTTACTCATCTTTAAAATGAGGGCAGTTATATCCTTTTGCCCTTTTGGGGTATAGCGTTGTTTAATTGATTTAAAAGCTGCTACTTTGGCTGAGGTAGTTTCACCTGTTATTCTTGTGAGTAATAGCTAAAAACAGTATAGTTGAAAAAAAAAAAAAAAGGTTTACATGATGCCTTGTCCTGGTTTCAGCTGGAATAGAGTTGATTTTCTTCCTAGTAACTGGTATAGTGCTATGTTTTGGATTTAGTGTGAGAAGAATGAAGAAAATTAACTGTATCCCAGCTGAAACCAGGACATGCCTTTTTGACAACATTTGCCAGATAAGTAATTTGGGTTTGTTTTTTTTTTCTCCTTTGGGCTGTAGCACAGCCAGTGTTGAAAAACAAACATACCTTTATTAATGTAAGACCCGGACAGGCATCAGAAGAAACTGACTTTGAGGAACCTGAACGGTGCAGTCAGATAGGATTCAGAGGGAGGCAAGTGGACCCAAGTCAGGTTATACTGAGTTCAGCGTGGCTCATCAGGTCTTGACAGATTTTTCACTGACAACAGGATACCAAGGGAGAGAAAAGCCTTTATCCTTTCCCCCTCCCCCAGATGAATAGGAAGGCAGGAATAGGAATGTTGCTGGAAAAAACAGAATAGCAAAGTAATTAATGAAACTAGAAAGCAGTTAGATTTTTCTGATTGAAGAAGTTAATGTTCTCAAATTGAGCTCTTTTATGTGTTTAGTTTCTGCACCAGAGTTTGTTTTTGAGCATGGCTATCAAACGTACCTGCCCAGTGAGAGCAGTGAGCCTCCAACTGCTGCTATCGTCTCTACACCACCAAAAGCACGTTCAAGAAAATCCAATTCCTCGCTTACACAGAAGAAACTAAACTGCTGCTATCCAGGCAAGATGTGGACTATACGTTCTTCCTTTTCCTTTTAAAATTGATAGGTTTCATATAGTGATACGCACAGTAGCTCTGCCTTAAGCAGCTAAGGTGCGCAGAACGTGGAGGGCAACCTGCTGACTAAGGGTGCGATGTGCTACCATTGATAGCAGTAGTAGTTTTGCTGTTGATTTCACATGTCCTTAGACGTTGGTCCTATGCTGTGGTATACCCTGGCAATGCTGCAGTGGGTTTGCGTATTGACGTTGGCCTATGCCCATACCCTTAGCAATGTAAGGGCAGTGTCTTGTTACTTTTTTGCTAACTGCCATTGTTGTACATGAGAAATATTATACGTGTGTTTGCATTATATGTTTTGTCTTTGGTCAGTTAGCATTTTTATAAGGATGGATTGAACCAAAGTATTTTGAGACCTTAGTGAGTGAAAACCATGCAATATGCAGAAAGCATGTGCAGAGACAGCCGAGTAGACGAATAGTTGTACTAATGGTAGGAGAAGTTACCGTCTCTTTTTGCAAGCTTGCCTGCATTTGAAAGGCGCGTTTCAAATGCTTAGCATTCATTTCAGTGCTCTAAAACTATGGCACTTTCCACTTGGACAGAATTCCTGCATGGTGAGCTGTTACCTGAGTTCCCAGTTGCACTAACTTGAAGTCGTACGTGGAATTAATTAGTTCCCCCAGCATCCCCTGTGTACTGTAAAGAGCATCTCAAATCCTAGGCAGAGATTCCAGAGAATTTGTTTCAAAGCTTACAGAAAACAGTCATGTAGACAGTGAATTACCTCCTAGGGGAAGCATTAGATAACTAAAGTTCATAGGTAAGCCAGTCACTATTTTAAGTAGATGTGACTAAATAAGATGGGGAATTCGTTTTCTGTTAATGCTGAATTTTATTAGAAAGTGTTCCTGAAAAGAAACATAGTGCCCAGAATGTGGTGTAGTATATTTTTATTATTTTGTTAGGTTTTCCTTGAATTTAATGATCTTAATCTTATCATTTTCAGGTTGCCAGTTCAAGACTTCCTATGGTATGAAGGATATGGAACGTCATCTACGAACACACACAGGTTTTTATATAGTTGCTATATCTTATTTTTGGTTGGTTTCCTCCTTTTGGCTTTTTGCCAAAGTTTATTTTCCTACAAGTCATATCTATAAATAAATTAGATAGAATGTACATATGTCTGTACATTTTAGTGTTGTGTTCTATGTGCTTGGGGAATTGCCCTTTTTGGGTAAGCCATGTCCCACTACGGGCAGTAGCACTCACAGCTATGAAACATGAACATTGTACATCAATTTAAGGCACAGTTAAATTTCTGAGGTGCAGACTATGTGTTTATCGGGGTACACTGCGGTGGTGGTGCATAAACCTAGTTTGTTCTTCATACGGAACAATGATTCCAACATCTCACCTCCCTTCCCCCTAAACCGCAATTTTAGAGTTGTACAGGGAGGAAGTTCCAAAGGGTCTTCTAAAATTGTTGCACTTGTGCGTGCAGCCTTCTGGAGCATAGAAGCGTTCTTAGCTGATAGAATGGCTGCTGAAATCCAATGTCCAGCTTTTGAAAACTAGCCCTGTTTCTATTAAGTGTTTGGTGTGTGCTTTTTTTTTTTTTTTTAATTGCAACAACATCCTTATGGTGCAAAAATTCTTGATGTGTTGATACCCTTCTGTTTATTTCAGGAGACAAGCCCCATAAATGTGAAGTTTGTAACAAGTGTTTCAGTCGTAAAGATAAGCTGAAGATGCATATGCGTTCTCATACGGGGGTGAAGCCTTACAAATGTAAGCACTGTGACTATGCAGCTGCTGACAGCAGCAGTCTCAACAAGCACCAGCGCATTCACTCCAACGAGCGTCCTTTTAAATGCCAGATCTGTCCTTATGCAAGCCGCAACTCTAGCCAGCTAACTGTACATCTCAGATCCCACACAGGTAAGTTTATACTAAAATGCAGATCTGTGAAGTCATAGGGAAGATTTTAAAAAGGTATACAGGTATCAAGATGCCAGAAAGGGCCTATTCGGATTCTCAAAAGCATCGAGGCATCCAGCTTCTGAGAATTTCTTGGCCATAGAACCTAGTAGGGCAATAGAGCTCTACCAAAAATACCTGGAAGCAATTGGAAGCAGATCTGACTCTTGGTAGATTTTCTTCTCTATTGATTTTGAAACTGCCTATTAGATGTTCTTAAACCAGTAGAACTGAAGGATCTAGTTGATTGATTGATTAAGAGCATCTAGGTTCCTGTCTGTGTCTCAAACCTGGTCCACTATATTAGAAACACTGAAATTACTTTATAACTGAACTAGTTATATCAATGCAAACCTAAGCTGCATAATTTAATTTTTTTTTGCATCAGTAAACTAGCAAGTAATTAGCAATTTAAGTTACTTTCTTTTTCCTTGACCATTCTTCGTGGTACCTTCCATGTGCGGACTGATGGACATTAACAGCATAGTATGAGCAGCCAAACTCTATTCTGCCCTTATCATTTTTGCTCTATGGATAGAAAGCTTTAGCCTCCAGGCTTCTAAACATTGTATAATTTTATATTCTAATTATTTGCCTAAGTTTCATTGTAATCAGGTTTCTCTCTTATAGATTTTTCCTAGACAAGATTTGCTGTGAAGATACTGCTGTACAGTTGTCTTTGTGTGTTGTTTTTCATCTAATCCAGGGTACTGGATTAGTTTCTGTGTTGTCTTTTATATATTTGATTAGTGCTGTGAATTTTAGCTGCAAGGTGGTTATGGTTCGGCAATTACTAGATTAGCTTTGAACCTATCCTACATCTGATTCTGAATTTGAGTACTAAACAACATTAGTTCAGATGTGTGCAAGATGGGATTTATTCTGAGTAGGTAAAAGAAATAAATCCCTTGTGCACTGTGAAGGAGGGGAGGGTTAAACCAATCTGTCTCTAGCAGAAAATAAGCTTTTATACTTCACAAATCTGCTGTGATGGAACAGGCAGGACTGTCAGGCAGTTGTTTTACAAGTTTCCTTTCTATTGCTATATAAAATGATGTGATCGGTCAGTCAAAATAATATGGGTTGTTATGAGAAGTTACCTGTTAGTAAACACACTAGTCAGAGAATATGGTATTGCATTTCCCTGTGTCATATAAGAGCATGTATACTTGTGCATTTATGCACATGGGCAGGTATGCTCTGAATTTGGCTGTGGGAGAACCTATGAATGATCACAGTTCTCTTGTATTTCCAGTAGAGTTAGATTTTTGTGGCATTAAGTGTTGCAATAGTTGGGAAGGGGTTCTAGGCTATGTTCTTTATGGCAGGTCAGTCTGTTGCCTTAAGCAACTGAATTATGCTAAAATTCAAGTCTGTAGTTTTGTTGTCTCTTCCATTTCTCCAGAATAAATCCTCTCTTGTAGAAGGACTTCTTTTGATTTGCTGAAAGAAGGCACAAGAATTTTGAAAGTAGTCATCCTTGTTAGGTTACAAAGCTGTTATGCACGCAGCTGTGATGGGTTAACCCTGGCTGGATGCCAGGTGCCACCAAGCTGCTCTATTACTCTCTCCTCAGCTGGGCAGGGGAGAGAAAATATAATGAAAGCCTCGTGGGTTGAGATAAGGACAAGGAGAGATCACTCACCAGTTACCATCACGGGCAAAACAGACTCAACTTGGGGTAATTAGCTTAATTTATTACCAATCAAATCAGAGTAGGAGAGGAATAAAAAACCTGAATCTTAAAGCACCTTTCCCCCATCCCTCCCTTCTTCCAGGGCTTTACTTTACTCCTTATTTTCTCTACCTCCTCCCCTGCAGCAGTGCAGGGGACAGGGAATGGGGTTGGGGTCAGTTCATCACACCCTGTCTCTGCCGCTCCTTCCTTCACAGGGGAGGACTCCTCACACTCTGCCCCTGCTCCAGCCTGGGATCCCCTCCCACAGCAGGCAGTCCTCCACCAGCTTCTCCACTGTGGGTCCTTCCCACAGGTTACAGTTCTTCATGAACTGCTCCAGCATGGATCCATCCTTTCCACGGGGTGCAGTCCTTCAGGAGCAGACTGCTGCAGCGTGGGTCCCCGTGGGGTCACCAGCGCTGCCAGCAAACCTGCCCCAGCCTGGGCTCCTCTCCCCACAGGGCCACAGGCCCTGCCAGGAGCCTGCTCCAGCGTGGGCTTCCCACGGGGTCACAGACTCCTTGGGGTATGCCCATGCTCCAGCGTGGGGTCCTCCCTGGGCTGCAGGTGGGGATCTGCTCCCCCGTGGGCTCCCTGGGCTGCAGGGGCACAGCCTGCCCCACCGTGGGCTGCACCAGGGGCTGCGGGGAATCTCTGCTCCGGTGTCTGGAGCTCCTCCTGCCCCTCCTGCTGCACTGACCTGGGGGGCTGCAGGGCTGTGCTGCTCACGTATTCTTGCTCCTCTCTCCGGATGCAGCTGTGCAGTTTTTCCCCCTTCTTAACTATGTTATCCCAGAGGTGCTACCACTGTTGCTGATGGGCTTGGCCTTGGCCAGCGGCTGGTGTTGGCCTTGCAGCTGGCTGGCATTGGCTCCATCAGACATAGGGGAAACCTCTGCAGCTTCTCCCAGAAGCCACCCCTGTAGTCCCCCCTCACTGCTGCCAAAACCTTGCCATGCAAACCCAATACAACAGCCAATTTTAGGGGAAAAGTAAGACTGGTATGTAGAACGTATTGCTTACTGGAATTAAATTAGTCATTCTCTGGAAGGTGAGTGTAGTCTACATTGCTCAGCATGAGATCATTTACATAGCATTACTTGTTGAACTAGTCATTTAAAGATCAGTTTCCCGTTAATTCAAGTAAAACTACTCTTAAAATTAATAATTCCAGGATCAGACACACTTTTCTAAGCTATATTCTGTCAGTGTTGATTATGTATGGACAGAAATGTAAAGAAATAGAAGTAATGGACCACTGTTTAAATAAATGGAACAAACATACTTTGCTATATTCAGTAAAACTACTCATTCTTTTTCATATATTGTGCTGTATGTGAAAATTAAGCCATTGAAATACATACTGTGCCTTCATCAGTGAAGTAGATAAAAATTCAGTGCGCAGCTGAAACTGTAAAATAAACTAGATGAACAAACAGTGCATCTTCATTAATAAAATCTGTTTAATATAGATAATACACTATGTATTTCAATTATTAAACAGATACATGGATTAGCACAGTAGGCCACAACTTGATTTGAAAAATATGCAGCTAAACCTATGACATATGTAGCTGGGTAAGCAAATTATGCAAAATTATACAGCTATCACAAACTCTATAAAATACTAACTTGTAAAATAAATCAGCCATTTGCAGTTTGATTATTAAAGAAGATAAATGCTTGCTGAATTAAGTACACTGCCTTTTTCCTTTCCCCAGCAAGCGTGTCTTAGAGCCTAATAACACAATTCTTCCACTTTTTCAAAATAATACCTATCTAAAGACTTCATGCTCAGGTACTTCAGAGAACTACATATTTAGATTAAAGTGAACAGTTATTTAGTCAGGTTAGTAGGTTTGCTTTGGATGGTTTTTTTACGACTTTGGAACGGAGTCACTGGTCTTTACCCTAGAATTGTTTATGAACTGAACAGAGCTACAGCTTAATTTGGTCATGCATGTTGTGACACAAGCCTGCAAATAAAGAAAATGCAAAATAGTGGTTTAGATCCAGCAAGTCAAATGGTTATTTGTGGAGGTAGTCTGTCATAAATAGGCTTACAGAGATCTTGCAGGTGAGTCTGTTCATTTTTCATGCTTTATCAGTTAAGAATTTGACCTGACTTTCGTCTACATTGATAGGTTTCTGGATCAGCATTGCAGTCTCTCTCAAAAAAAAAAAAAAAAAAAAAAGCACTTATGACTAGTTTATGTACCTATTTGCATGAATGCAAACTGGTACTAGACTTTCTTGAAGTGATCTGTGGAACATTATTAGGTGTGCTACATGGGGCATATATCTCTTTCTTGGTTACTGTAACGCCAGAAAAACAAAAGCTTAATGTTACTTCTCCATGTAAGCACATTTCCCCAGAGTCACAGACTTGCATGCACGTTTCATTAGTCTCACATTTGTCTTTTCTAGTTGCGTTTATGTAACTGTGATCCCTCTTTTTTTTTTTTCTGTAACTGTAATAATGCTATGGTTGTGCAGTTACCTGACACTGCCCTAGGTATGGACTTTTGTTCCTACATCTCCCTGTGTTCTGGACAAGAGTTTCCACTGCCTTCCTGGGCCAGCAGTATTATCTGTGCTGCACCACATGAACCAGGCCAGAAAAGTGATCAGTTTTTCTTGTCAGCTAATCTAACTCAACTATATGGTTGAGCAGTAAGGCTGGTGCCTGTTAAGCATCTGCTTCTGCAGTAGCCCTACCATTTACTTAGGCTTATGGTTAACCTCCAAGCTTCCCTGTAAACCTTGTAGTGTAAACTCCAGACAGGGATGTGTTTATGTTACTTTCTTAGACTTCAAAAATATAGCAGCTGTTAAATTTACAGTGTTTATTAAACACTAGTTGAGATCCACTGTTGCTAAAGAGGGACAAATAAAAAACTTCAGTCACTTCTCTGGAGCACAGTGAACAGTTTTACACTCAAAATGAACTAAAAATGGAGAATATCTTAAGATCCAGACATGAAAAAGCAACAGATGTGGGCAGGCACGCTCATGAAGAGTTTGCACACAAATATGTCAGGCCAAGTGATAAATAATGTCCCATTAAAGTTCTCTACATCTTAAAAATATGTTGGGAGTTTACAGGTATTTAGAACAAGTCAACTGTACATAATTCATTACAGCATTGGTCTCTTCACTGGATCTGGGTGTCTCATCTGTAACTTGAACTGTGTTTTTTGTTGACAGGAGATGCTCCTTTCCAATGTCAGATGTGTCCTGCTAAATTTAAAATCAACTCGGACTTGAAGAGGCATATGCGTGTGCATTCTGGTGAGAAACCTTACAAATGTGAGTTCTGTGAGGTCCGGTGTGCCATGAAGGGAAACTTGAAATCACACATTCGTATCAAGCATAGCATGGAAAATACTCTCAAGTGTCCAGAGTGTGAATTTCAGTGTGGAAACAAAACAAGCCTTCGGCACCACATAAGAACTCATCAGCCCGAACAACCAGTGAAGTGCTCAGAATGCAACTACTCTTGCTCCAACAAGGCAGCTCTGAAAGTGCATGAGCGAATTCACTGCAAGGATCGTCCTTTCAAATGTGAATTCTGCAGTTTTGATACCAAGCAGCGGAGCAACCTGACAACTCATGTGAGGAAAGCTCATGGTGACAAAGTCAAGACCAAGAAGCAAACAGTGGAGAAGGAGGGAGATAGGCCAAAGCAAGGTGGCTCCAGGCAAGTTGCCAAATTGGATGCCAAGAAAGCGTTTAAGTGTGACCTGTGTGATGCTTCTTTTGTCCGAGAAGATTCTCTTAGAAGTCATAAGAAGCAGCACAGTATGTATAATGGCTCGAAAAATAACGAACTGGCTGTTCTACAGCTCCAGATGGATCCCAGTCGTCAGGCCAGTGCTGCAATTACTGTTAGTCACCTCCAGGTCCCACTTCAGGCTGCTCAGGTTTCTCCATACAATGAGGGAAGGGTGAAGATTATTGTGGGTCACCAGGTCCCTCAGACCAACAGTATCGTTCAGGCTGCATCAGTGAATGTCGTGCCCTCAACATTAGTTAGCCAGAATCAGGAAGACCTCTCAACCAACAACCGCTTGCAGCTGCTGGGCCAAGTCAGTTTGTTGGCACCACCTCCGCCTCCCATATCTCAAAGCGAAGCAGGGCCTGTGGCACAACCAGCAGTTCTTCTCACGACCCATGACCAAAGTGATGGAAGTGCTTTACATCAGAAACTGATTTACATCAGACTCTGATTCTTGCTGCTTCTGTCAGCGGTCATGAGGCTTCAGCAAACCAAGCTTTCATCACCAGCTCTGGAATCAGCTGCTCTGACTTAGAAGGCCTTAATGCTTTGATACAAGAAGGAGCAACAGAAGTGACTGTGGTTAGTGATGGAGGTCAGAGTATAACAGTGTCCACTTCAGCTCCCCCTCCTCCTATTTTTTCTTCATCCTCTCACACAGAAGCCCCTAAGCAGACCTATTCTATCATTCAGAGCGGAGCCCATACAGCTTTGCTGTGTCCAGCAGACTCCATACCAGATTAGTCACAAAGTACTATCGCTAAACAAATTTCAATCTCAGAGGCAGTGCTGAATTCAGCAGAAATGCATAGGACATAAGTGAATGCAGGATTTGTCCTACAAAGCCAAATACCTTCCAGTTAGACATTTTACTTGTCTGTACATGGAAACATACATCTTGTATGTGAAAAAGAGGTTGTGTATATTTATGTGCCTCTATTGAAATCAGAGGCTGCGTTCTTTGTAAAATCCAAGCATCCAAGCAACTGTTGACAATTTCACTGAGCAGTAAGCTTCCCACAATATGATTCTTGTATTGTGCTGGATGAAATAAGAAAGCCTCACCTAATGATGAATTACCTTCACAGCAGACTTGTTCTTTCATGCCCACACAAAAAGGTAATAGTCCAAGCCATTCTGAAGTATATTTTTAAGTGAAGTCTGTTTCAGTTACATGCTATGTAGGCATTAACTGCACCTGGCTGATTGTTGATCTGTAAGAAATATCTACTACTGGGTCTAATGCAGCTCTAGTAAAGTTTAAGGGGGCTGTTCCTTAGTGTCTGTAGAAGTTGCTAGCGCCTGGCACTTAATCTGGAAATGATTACGCAGAAGACCAGGTGATCTTTTTTAGAAAATGAAAGAATTTCATCCGTCCATCAGTAATACCTAGCTCTGTTAGCAAGAACACTATTACAAATTATATCTATGGCACAGTGATTTCTGTCAGAGGCACCTGTGTTTTAAAGAACAAAACAACTGCAAATATATTTTTTACAAACACTACTTAATTTTGATTTTATTTTTAATGCTGCCTGTTTGTAGTTGCATGGGTGGTAAAAGTGCATTACGTTTTGGCTCTGTTCAAGTTAAAGGGGGGAAAGGAAAAGATTGAATTCATTCCATTTAAAATAAAAAACTAACAGGTTCCAATCCAAGGTGTGAAACTCTAACAAAAATTCAGATTGGATCACAATGAGATGGTAATTTACCATTATATGATGCATGTTTCTGTAATGAATTAATTCTAGGCTGTGCTTTGAACTATGTGTTACTATAGTCCTATCCGGTGAGCATTCTGGTAGTGTTAGCTAATAATATCTTCACTACCAAACTACCTAGTTAAAGAACAGACTCTCAGCTTGGGAAAATAGTTCTGTAGGTGCCTGGATCTGCAAAAACTCAGAGATCATTTCACAGCCAGACAGCATCCCAAGGACAACTGTTAACATCCATGAAGACTGAAAAGAGACTGTTACCAAAACCAGCTCTGAGATTCCGTCTTGGGGAATCAAAGTCAAGTTAAATTTCACAGTATTTGCTAGTGGGAGACACTGAATGATTGCTTTATGTCCTAGAAACATACTTGGAAAACTTCTAAAGATAACATAATTAGGGCCACTTTCTGAATAGGCCTCGTTTGAAATTTTTTTAGCTTGCACAGCCTTCACCTTGTGTATGTGGGACTGCTTCCCGAAACTCCTTCCCTCTGCATGGTGTGTACTCTATGTACAGTGTAAGGCTTCCTGCTTTACAGTGATGAGTAGGAAAATGCCATCATAACTCACAAGTACAGTCGTACAGGTTGTTCTTGAAAATGTGACCTTTTCTTTTTTGTTTAAATAAGGGTTGTTTAAACTCGAATGCTCCAGTATCTCTGTCTTCATTATTTATGGGAAATAGTATTTTTGGAGATCCATATATCTTCTGCCTTCCTAATCCTTGATTCTAAATTAGTGTTCTTTTAAAACAAAAAACCCTTCCAAATAACCTTGGTTTTAAAATCGGGGTTTTGATTTGAACAGTCTGACAGTGTGCCTGACACTTGTGGATATCAGAGAAGACCACACTCCAGTTAGAGGGAGAAACTTCATAAATGCTTAATTAAAAAGGCTTTATTAAAGACTTATTTCCTAGCCTCATGCTGCATGAAGCAAAAGTTCTAAGTTCACTTGACAGGTGTATTTCAGCGTTTATTATTTCCTACACTTGTTCTTCAACTTTTCTGGTGATACAGGTTTGTCACCTGTTAATTATCTCTCTTCCCTACAGATAGGTAATTTAAGGAGCTGACAAGACCCAATTCCAAATCACCGAGCACACCTATTTTTATATAAATTAGAAGTAGGCGGGAGGCTTTTACTACATTAGATCACTGCAGAACATTCATTGAGAACAATAAGTTGAAAGCCTAGATACTTTGAATTTCAACGCTGGCCTTCCTGTTTTGTGGCTCTCCAGTCGTGTTTCATTGTTGTGCCTATAGCAGAGACCTGATGGTTACATTTCCACTGATTTGAAACTACTTGCAAAGCACTTGGAAGATAAAAGGCATCACAGGTAAGTGCTTGATCTTATTATATGTGGTCCCTGGTATCAAGTTGTAAGTGATCACTGGAGCAGCACAGATCAAACACTTTGTTATCTTTGAATTTAAACATATGGCATAGTAGCAATTCTTCACTATTAATCCATCTCCAAACATATGTGTATGTATGTACCTGATCTAAACCATCAGGCCGTGTACAGTGTTTCTGTGTGCTGGGCCAATAGTTACTGTAAACATCAGTGAAAGACGGGGCACTTTCAGCCCTGTAAGAGTACAGATTTTTCACCCAGCTTACAGTGGTTCTAGACCATGGGCAGCGCTGGTGTTGCAGTGGGGGAGAGGCTTCCCCAGGAGCATGTGTGATGGACAACGGAGCCACAGGAGAGTGAGCTTGGGGAAGTTCAATGCAGTTGAGGTTCAAGTCTATTCGACCTGCAGAGGAAGGGGGGCTCCTTGGGTCATCTCAGTGGTCCAGTTCACAGCACTGCTCCACAAACGGTTACACTAGCACAGCAGAGAGTAAACTACAACCAAGATCACACCAGAGATGGGTCGGGCGAGAGATTTCTTCCAACTCCTTTTTGTGCCAAATGGTAATACTGAGCGGCACAAACGGTGGTAGCAAATTATACTCTCAGCTTTCAAAAACCTATGCTAGGACTGTGGGTGGGATTGACTAGTCCATTGGTGACTTAGGTTTTATTACGAGTTACTATGTGTTTTCCCTTCATTGTAAGACAAAAGAATCTAAATTGATCAGCCCTGACGTACTTGGTTTTGTCACGGGTAAGTCTGCTTCTGTATCTGCTTGCTCAGGCGCCATCTTCCCAATGTTTCCTGCTGGTTGAGTTTATGAAGGCTGGCGATCTCAAGGATAATTATGTTCTAATTTCTACGAGCCACATGGGTAGAGAGTTTAAGAATCCCAGCTGAGGCGCTTGCCTGTCAGAGGCCCTGGTGATGGGGCTCCCGCTGGACAAGAAAATTCTGCCTGGGACATGGGGTTGGAGCTGGTGGACCTGTGCTGCTCTGGGTTTAGAGCTGGTGGCTGTACATTACCCCAAAGGGGGTGGTAGTCTTGTTTTTAAGGTAAAAGTTTGAGTGTAGTTGGACTAACTGCTGATACCGGTGGGTAAGGTTGGCCGGCTTTCGGGTGTAGAAAATTGTACCAAGCCTGCAAGTTTGTAAGTGCAAATGTAGTACACTTTGGCACCTAGAAAGTAACATTTTTCATATATTGGTATAAATGAACTCTGCATGCAGGGTTTCATGAGCGTGAAGTATTTTGTGTCATCTATAGGTGGTGCTAGAGATCCAGATAAACTTCAAAGCATGGCCTGGGCTGCTTGATGATGTTTCATCTTAAACAGTTCCCTGCTTTTAACTTTTTGCCCGATAAGCACATTTCAAAATCCACTTCTATAAGAAGTTACAATATCTTAGCTGTAGAAATCTTACTTTCATTTAAGAGAAAAAGCAACAAATTAAAAAAAAAAAAAAAGTCCAAAGTTTTCTACTGTTAAGATCCCAGGAAGCAGATTTACAGCCAGAACTTGATCTCACAATTTATGTTAAACCACTCATTTTTTACTCCCTGTTAATTAATTTTAATCTGTACATGGTTTGCAGCTGCAGATCTGTCGTGCACTACAAGAACAGTACAAAATGAGAGATTTTGACAAAGCTGATGGGTTGAATTGCAATTTATCTGTGTTTGCACTTGGCCAACAGAGCTGCACCCAGGGGACGCATCACCACGTCCAGGAATCTCATGCTCAATCTAATGTCATACTTAGCGTTACACAGCTCTGTTATCTGCCTTGCAGTTTCACAAAAAGCCTTGTTTGCCTTCTAAAATAGGAAACCGGTAGATTTGTCATATTGTAAAGAGTAACCTTCGTTCTGGTCCTGTGTGTGCCTCGAAGATCAACAGGAAAGATAACAAAATGGTGTGAATGAATAGACAAAGCTCAGTGCTGCTTCTTCAACATTGTTTAGCTGATTGCATTATGTTTACATGAACAATCTGGAGACTTCTTTCCTCCACCCTAAAAGGAAAAAAAAAAAGGCAGCTGATAACCAAGGCTAACACAGGTCGATATTTTTTGTCAGTATTCTGTTCCAATATTCTGGCTTTATTTCTGTGTATGACAGTAATGGTCTTTCTGGTTTGGAGCTGGCAGAAGCAGATTGTTTTAATCTCTGATACTCGTTTAATACATTCTTCATGTTATCAACAGAACTATCCCTTGAGAGAGCATGGTAATTCATAACAAGTGTCTCTTGTAGAGCTCGCTTGCTTTCAAGCACATGGTAAATAAATCGTGTGCCTTCCTAGAGTTCTGCCATAGCTTCAGAGCTCTGTAGCAAGTTGTCTCTTTCCAGGTGAAAATAATTGGATTTTGTTCTTGCCTGGTGATCTCCAAGCCCTCCCTGGTAAGCACGGAGCCCCACAGTGCCCAGGCAGCACGGAGCGAGCAAACCCGGCTGCCCGGGCTGCTGCTGGCAAGCGCTTCTCACTTCTGCTCACTTGTCACAAAATGGATGATGTTTACACTGCATTGCACGGAACTGGCTCCAAGAGGAAAATGGAAAACTAAATATTCCACGGTTAGCTTCCTTCGACACATTCGTGGCAGGTTTTGCTCTCCGCACGGGCATGTAGTTTTTACACAATTCGCTTGTGGCGTCCCGGTTGCGAGTTGCAGTGTGTTACAGCCCTCGCTCCTCTGCGAGTGTGGAGCGCTGCGACTGCTTAAAGGCACGAGGTTAAAGAGAGCGGGAGCGTTAGCCAGCGCGCTGAGCAAGCAGTGGTGCATAGCCTGCATGCATTTCAAATAAAGCCACCCCCTGCTCTTGCATCCTTCCCAACCTTTTTTGATTTTGTTTTGTGGCTCCATGCCACTGCTTTTTAAAAGCAGACCCAAGTATCACATGAGCAGAGGCTTATCCTCAGCAAGACCTACTAAAACGTGCTTTTCTCTCTGGTTTTGTGTGGCAGAAACATACAGCAGGAAAAAAAAAAAGAAAAAAAAAATCCAAAGTCCAAAGAAAAATTTGTCTTCAACACCTTTAGCTGTGTTTTGGTGTGGCTGTTACCTGCCCCAGAAAGATGCAATGTCGCCTTTGAACAAGAAACCAGCAGCGCTCTGGGTTAAGCCCCCCGTCAGGGTCGGTGGTATCTCCTATGCGGTTTTGATAAACACTTTAACTGCCATTTGCATCAAAATGGCGGATTCCTGCTCAAAACCAGCATCAATTTGTCCGGTGCACAGGGGGGGTTACTGGATATGCAGATGCACCAGAAAGCACCCCTGGGTGAGTGAATGGGATCCCGGCCTCACGTGAGAGGAGGCCAAAAAGCAAGCAGACCTCGGCCCAAAGTTAGGTTCTTTGGGATCAGGGCGGGGGGGGAACCAAACTTCTATTGAATACATATGGGGTTTGCAATTAAAAAACTATAATCAAAATATTTCCCAATCATTTTGGCACAGCTATTTAATGCTGTTATGATCTGACTGCACTGGAAAGTACCTTCTGTTGTGGGGGTTTAATTTCTTCTTTAAAAATGTTAGAAGCATGCCAAGACGTTTTTCTCTAGATTACAAATAACTAGGGAAAGGCTTCTTTTTTAGATACATTTCTTTTATTCTGTATTTCTGATTATTCACTTATGTATTTGTCTTTACAGTCAAAACACAGTCGGTCATCCTTTTTGCAATGCAATGCTCTGGTGTCTGTAAAAATATTTGCTATGTCCTCAGTGGAAAGGCTTCTATCCTATAATTTCAGGAATATTGACTGGATACTCTAATGGCCTTTTACAGCTCTAGTTGGAAAATCTTTAGCCTTGTTATTTAAATTTTAGGAAGAGAAACCAATATTGTTAAGAGAAACTGATGTCTCCTGTCACTTATCCCAATGACCTTTCATAAGGTGATAAAGGTTTCTATAGTGACCTGAGGAAATAATGTCTCAGGTATCATTGTGAATTAAAAGTCTGTGGCAGGAACAGCTTTCTTTTCTCTCGCAGGTATCCAGTTCTGCCTTTGCCTTTATTCCAGTTGCTAGACATGAAGAAGGACTCATAAAACGTACAGTATTTGGTTACATGGCTGTCTTTCATCTTTTGGAGACTTCACCATATTGTAGGGAAGTAAAGAAGTCCATGAGAAAGCAAAGTTGGGGGGTTGTTAATGCTATATACCATTAGAGTCACAAATACCATGTATGCATGGGGTCTGGTGCTGTAATGCCGCTGCATTCTGTGCCCTGTGGTGTCGGATAATTTAGTGCACAAGCTTCAGGAGCTGGGCTTGCCTCTGTAAGAAGCAGGAATTATGCATTAATATAGATTCAAATTTGGCAGAGGTGCTGTGGGGATTGCTGGAAGTTCCTAGTTTCAGACCTCATGTAAACTTGCTTTTAACGTCTGAAAGCAAAAGGTCAGTGATAAGAGTGGGTGAATTTTGTAGGTAAAAGTTGAACATTATCTGGGAAATAATTATCTGAGGACCTGTAAACGTTGGGGGGGGTGTGTTTGTTGTTTTGGGGTTTTTTGGTTTTATTTTTTTTAAGGATCTAAGGATGCATTTATGCTGCCTTGTGCTCCTGGGTGAAACACGTTATGCCATGAACATCTTTCAATTTCTCAAACCTGATATGAGAGACACCTAAAACAAAACTTGGAGAGCCCCCCAACGTTTTCAGCTTGAGTTTCCCATTCATATCATTCAAAATGAAGGAGAGCTGTTAAAATCTTTGTGCTCTCTGTATAGGCAGCATTTGGAAAGAAAGGCTGGCCCTACATGGCAGACTTAGGCTGCGTATCCCTGTTGGTCAGGGCTGTTCAGACAATTTTCTATAATTTTTCTTTTGATCACAAAATGGAAGCTTATGGAGACTGAGAACCCCTGGGCCAGGTGGGGCAGAGCAAGGCTGGCAATGCTGGTCGGCCGTGTTCCCCGTGGGTCTCCCAGCCCTGAGCCATCACCCCATTCTGCCTGGTGGTTGTATTTGCACTGTTTAAAATGTCACTCTCTGAATTAATGTATCCATCCCCCCCCTTTTCTTAACACAGATCACAACTTCATACTTCCGATGTGTGTCTCCACTGGCTGTTACTGGCCATATGCAGTTATTATTTTAGCAATATGTATTTTTCTGGACTAGTGCTGCTGAATTCCCCATCTGGAGAAGGTGACGTGCACCTCAGAAGTATATTGTGAGGATGAGAATAACTTGGATACCTCAGTGATGAGCGAGATGCAAATACCTAGATAGATGCTGGAGATAGTCCCATCTCATGATGGCCTAAAGGAAAATTTGAAAGAACAGGAATGCATAAAGCTAAACTGCATAATGCATAGCAGTCATAATTAATAGATTAAAGTTCTTTGTGAAACAAGCTTTTTTATTCTAATAAACAAAAGGGAGTATAAATGGTGACATAGCTTTAGAAAAACAATGTAAGATGCCATGTTAAATTTGTAAAGCTAAAGAAGCAATAAAAATGTACCTTGTTTTTAAATTTTTACAAGACTGATGCAAGGTTTATTATCTAAACAGTAGCACTTTCCCTCATCTCCTGGCATATTGGAGCATGCTGCTTCTCTAAGTACATACAGTTGCTGGGGGATTGAGGAAAAGTTGCCAATCCTTGCTTCTTAGTCACTCCTAAAACATTCAGAATTTATCATGTGAATCAATTTGCCTAAACAATGTTAAATTTTGCTTTTGTTGTAGATCATGTAGATCAGCCATTGATATCACTTTAATTGGATGGGGATGTTCATGATTTTTTTTCTTAAAAAAAAAAAAAAAAAAAAAGCCTGCCAGCAAAATTGCTTTTTGGTGATGACTCTGCTTGAAAAGTGCTCTGCAGGGGCCCATTCCCAATTGATTATCTTTCACAGCTAATAGCTTCAAAGGCTATTTGGTGGACAGTCCAGTTTTACATTTAAATGTAAATCTTGATAGCCTTGACAGACTGATGATCAGAAAAAAGGGAGGTAAAAACAGTAAAATAAATGTACAGCTGGTATAACTTTCACCAGCTCCTCCAGGGGCAATTGTAGTAAAATTAAAATGGTTACAGTTTGACAAAGCTCTTTAGAGCAGAGGGTGAGTGAAAACTTTCCTCAAAAGATCTAGCATTAATAAGTTGCTAAATAGCGTGTCAGCCTTAAAGTTCAGTACAGTGTCAATGGCTCCCATTTGTGCTTCCTTTGGATTCAGGAGTAAAGTTCAAAGCACTGGAGCCACCAGGGTAAAGCCAGTCTTTTGATGAAGCTACAGCAGAGGAGTTCTCTGGAAAACCAAGTTCATATTTGCAGCTAAAACCTCGTGGCAGGCCAGGTGGCATCGAAGACGTGTTGGTGGGCCACCGATTTCCTGCAGCATGGGAGAGGTGCCACGCCTCCCACTGGGACCGGGGTGGTTCTCCCTTTCGGGCACAGGAACAGGAGCTGTGCTGGCCCTGGGCCTCTTTGGCTTGGACAAGTGAAGGTGGAGTCTGGGTTTTGACAGACCTTATAAGAATCACCGAAGTGGCATGAAGATAAAGCTAACGAAGATGGCTGAAGTCTGGTTCCCCGGCAACATGTCAACTGCCCCCTTGCTTTTGTGAGTTGGCTGGGATTTTGGCATGGTGAGGGGGGTATCGGTTTCAACCTGACATTCATCTTGGAAGCAGATGAGGCAACAAAAGGACATTCAGGATTGTGTAGCTGAGAGTTCCTTCAGCAATGATGTGCTTGTCATCTTTGCGGTAGAGTGACCGAATTGCAGCAGCCTGGAGGACCGTGCAGAGGTAACCCATATGCTTTGCCATTGCCATTTTGCCTCCTTGGCCTTTTCTCTGAGCCTTATCCTTTCCTTACTACACATTCCCGTCAGATCACACTTAGTATCTTTGTTGGCTTCATTGCTTGAACTGCTGTGGACTCTCCCAGTCACTGGCCGTGACGTATTCACGTGCCAACCATGCCATGCTGAGAGAGGAAAGCAGTCACTGGGGATGGAGCAAGCAGTTGATGCCATCCTATTGGCAGGAACCCTGGGGAACAGAAAACTACCAAAATAAAATCTTGTCCAAAAGTAACTCTTTACCATCATCTTTACCTTCTTACTTCATTACCATCTTAATTAATTTCTCATGTGCTCCAGAACTCCTTACACAGCTATGGTTAGGTCTGGGTTTGAGCCGTTTGGTTGCGTGCATCAGCGATGAGTCCTTGACCACTGGAACTGCTTGCAGGGTTACAGATGCAACTGCTAGCTCTGGCCCTGTTAGCCAACCTCGCCGTCAGCTCCCCATGCTTACATAAAGTGCTCTGAAACTGTGGTCAGTGAGCAGTGCTACCTCTCTGGCTCATGCTAAAATATGTTGCAGAGGAGCTGTAATCTCAGACTGAGCCACTGACCACAGCTAAGGGTCAACAGGAGTGCTGCCAGGCCCTGTGCTGTGCTTCTACAGCGCATGGGAGGAAAGGTGGACAAGGAATTCCTCATCTCCAAAACCATCTCAACAACTAGGAGTAGGTGCCTTTTCCTCATTTTTAATCTTTGTTGCCATGGAAACCGAGCCACAGGCACTCACTGCTCATTTTCTCTTGCATAGTCCTCAAGTGTCCAAACACTCAAGAATACCAGTTAGCCACTGTCCAGCATTTTCCAGACTTTCAAAGGAAGGAAAAAATAAGGGAGAAAAAAGGAAAATGCTCAGCATAGAAGCCACTGAGAAACAGGAGATCAAGGAAGGAAAGTCTGTCTATCTCAGAGGAAACAGGAAGGTAAAAAATTAGGGATACTTGGTAATGAAGAGATAGCAGAAAAGGTGTTTATCCTGAGCAAGGGCTGCCACAAGGGACCAGCACACTGCAAACGCACACACACCCCCCACCATGTCCTCTACTTGCTTTCTCATACCAGTTTCTGAAATCATCTACATAAAGTCTGTGGACTTGAGATGGTTTGTGCTACTGCAGCTGAAATAACACCTGGCAGAGCTCACCATGTGTAGCAATGAAACCAGCAGCCTGGGAGGAACTGAACTGTAGAGATGTCTCCAACCTAATCATGGAGCTTGTTGGCCATGCTCAGTGCCCAGGGGAAGGAGCAGGCAGCACCTATCAGCCTCTGAGCTGAAGCCAAAATGTTGCAGATAGGGAAGGTGTGAGGGGCAGACCTTGCGTTTCTCTCAATAGTGAGTCCTTTGCAGGAGGAGAATGTTGTTGATCAAATTAGGTTTGAATTCCACTCCAATGGCTCAATATTCCTGTGTAATAGAGTAAGGATCAGCTAAGCCTATCTTTTTCTTTTTTCTTCTTCTTTCTTTTCTTTCTTTCTTTTTTTTTTTTTTAAACTTCTACAGCTCAGTAGATCCCAAGCTCCCTTAGGAGTCATGACTACCACATTGACCATAGTAAAATGGTATCAAACCCAGGCAAAAGCCCACCTGCCTTTTATTCATCCTTCAGTCCTACAGGGCAGGACCATGAATTAACAACAATGCCTCCCTCCCCAGTAATCATATCTCCTTCCAATATAAAATTAAGAAAATGCATAAAGCATATTTAACAAGACTGGATATGTACCCACACCTCCTTCCCTTGCTGAATTCACTCCCCTGATTTTTATGTACTCAGGATGCACAAAGCCAAGCAACCAGCAGATCCAGAAACCTCACCTAACCAGCTACAGCATGGAAAAGGCCCCAAATGAAAAGGCTTGTCCCATGCGAGAACTCAAGCTGCAGGGTTTTATTGAGCCTGACCCCCTCCAGAGCCTGTACCAGCGAGTGCACCGATGTCATGGGAGCAGCCAGCAGATGGGCAGGTCCTGGCAGCAGCGAGGATTCCTGGCACAGGGGCTGGGTGCATTTTTTTTGAGAGAGAAACCCCTCTGTGCAGAGATAGTGGCTTGGGGACAAAACCCCAGCTGGCTCTTTGCAGAGTTACTGAACACCAGCCAGTACAGAGCAGTTACAGCAATGTATTTAAATCTGAATTAATCCTCTTTTCCTCCCCATGTAGATAAGTCTTTAATAATAAATCCAACTATCAATCCAGTTTATGTGAAAAGATATGATCTATAAAGGATCCCTGTGCAGAAATACAAAGTTCTGTCTGTATTAAGCTCTGAATATATCACTCATGTGGCCACCGAACTTTGCAGGAATCATGCCATTGGCTTCACCAGGCTTTGTGTTAGATCCCTAGTTAAAATTTGCTTGGACATATAATTGGTAGAGAAACTCGCAGCAGTACAAAGGAAAACAGAAAAAGAAGTTTGTTTTACTTGTTCTTTTACCTTTTTGACGTGCTAGTTTCCTGTTCTGGCATAGGTTTTCAAATATTTGTTTCACAAGCCATTGACGCATACATGCATAAGTGGTCTATTTGCACGTGCAAATCTCTATTATTTGCAGTGCATCTGCACATTCCATTGTATGCATTCAATTTTTGCATTTGTTAAATAGAAACACTTTGTATTTGGAGGAAAACTAGACCCCCTACACAATTCTTATATTTACTAGGATAACTAAGAACAAGTACTAAAAACCAAACAAAAATGAACACACACATGCATCATTAAAGCGGTATTAATTCATATAGAAAAACCAGTTCATCCAAATATTTTCTGGTTTGTACCATCCATGCTATAAAGGTGTTAATTTCTTTAAATCACAAGACGACTATCGTTCTTTTAGTTCATATTTAAGCATACAGACTGTACCATCAGCTTAAGAGTTTTCCTCTCTTTCCTTCTTAATTGTTATTAGTGGAAAACAATTACACTTAATCCCTATTCCTTTTAATTTTAAAGGTGCTCCATTTAACCATCGTATATAATTTTTCTGTATTCACGCTTGGTAAAAATCTGGGTGTTCAATAATTTTGTGTGACCCCTGTCCTGCTCCTTGAGCTAGCTCGTCTGACGGTATCGCTATGGTAATTGAGAGCAGTTTGGCAGTAAGGGGCTAGTTAGCATCGCTGATGAGTTATGCCATCAATACCAAACTGATTTCCAAGATAAATGCAACCCTGAGGCGTAACAAAGCACAAGTTATAGCCAACTGTCTGCGTATGTGATCATCTTATAGTGATAATACAGCTTAGAGTCGCTTTTATCACTAGACTGGTGATGCATTTATTGTGGTTTTTTGGGAAGAAAAGGATTAAATTAAAAAGACAGTGTGGTGTTATCGGCTAAATTCTTTAGTTCAGCTCCTAATTGTTGAACAAGTTGCTCAGCTGACACTGAATGAGTCTAAGAAAAATTGAAGAATAAACGATTTGTTAGAAGAGCAAATAATTTGGGTTACAGTTACAGAAAGAAAATGTGAGGCCCCTCCATGACCACATCATCTTCTATGTACAAACAGTTGATAATCTTATCAATGCAAAGTTGC